CCCCACCCCCCACCCTTCCCCCCTCCATTCAGCCTTGCTATCTTTTGATGGATTTGGAGCCCACCAAAAGCTCCTCTGCATCTAATCTTATTAGCTCATATGTTTGAAATCCCCCTCATCATTGCTGAAAACAATTAAAACAATTAAAACAATTACAACAATTAAAATCAATTAAAATTTAAAACAATTAAAATCAATTGGGGTTGAGAAATTCATCCGCTGCATAACTACTTGGTAATGTTTCACTTCGCATTTCCGTGTCCCGAAGAGCCAGCAGCATTGTATCTTCCGGGTCTGTAGCGGATTAAAGCTCAAAATGTGCATTTTGAGCTTTAATCGATGTATGTATATAATACGCAAAAGGAAGGAGAGGTCCTTGGAAGACGCTCCGTCTGTATGTATATAATACTCAAAAGGAAGGAGAGGTCCTTGGAAGACGCTCCGACTGGGCCAAGTGAAAATGAAGGCGGAGGCAGTTGTGCACGGGACAGGCGTGCAATCCTCAGTTTCCTTTTGGGGAGGGGAGCGCGGGGTGTAGGTCTTTTCTTAACCCGCTGTTGCGGGGGGTCGAGGTGGCCTTTGCACATGGCCTTGTTTTTTTTTTCTCCCTTTGCTGCTTTGGCTCCGAGCTGGCTACTGTTATCTGGTTGGGTAGGTTTGTCTTTTACTGACCAAGGCGCATGGTTTTTTATTTTTTTTATATTTTTTTTGTGCGTACGTTTTGAATACAAGGGTATAGTGGGCTGCACGGGTTTGTCGTCGTCTTCTGACACATTGCAAATATTTCTTCTCGAATCTTTCCCTCGTGCAGTTCTCCTCTGCAACGGTTGGAATACAAATACATACGCAAATCCTGTGGGGTCTACATGTACATACCAGATGCAATAAAAGACAAGAATATGTTGGTGCAAAATGAGAGTGGATGTTCCCCTAGAACATGGAAAGATACACCGCCATATTTTTGACATTTCGTACCCAAAACAGAACAGATATTATTTGTACCAAAGGCCGAAATTATGACGGAGTATCTTTCGGATTCTTTCCACGTTCTTTTTTTTTTTTTTTTTCCCCTTGCGTAAGGGTAAAAGCTAATCGTCTCTGTATCGTTCCGTGTTCTAGCGGAAGATTCATTCTCATTTTGCACATTTGGTGAGTGGTGAAGCGAGCCCCCATTTGCCCACTTTTTTTTTTCCCTTTTGTTTTCGTTTTTAACTCGGCTCTTCTCTCAATTTCACCTTTCACTACCCGCCTGCTACTGCTTCCATCCCCTGCAAGCATGGCTGCCTCTCTACGTTAAATCACCAGTACTTGGCCCAGCTATCGGCCGTGGCGCTTCCCGATTAACGAGCCGCGCCTTTAGGGCTTCGGGGTACCCGACCACAATGGCTGAAAGCGCCAGCCAAAAAAAAAATTTCAAAATGGTACCCCGGCGGTTTGGCAAAAATTGGCCCGCAGGGGCATTTCCAGGCTCTGCATCGATAGCTGGGCCAAGTACTGATGGTTTAAGGGGATGCATGTTCCATGCGGTATTGGGTGGGACCATATAGTAGTGCCACCCGATCCACTGTGGCTGACTCGGCGCACATGGTGCCGCCCGGCCTGCTTCATTCTATTTCGCACATGTCCCGCGATACAACTTCGTCCACATGGTGCCTTGCAGTCCCATCTGCTCCACATGGGCACTGACGCGGCGCCTCTCAGCCACATGGCCGGCAGTAAAGAGGAGACGCGATCTCGTCTTCTGGTACAACTATTGAGGGGAGAGGAGGAAGTCCTGGAAAACACTCCCTCTCGGCCCAGCAAAAGTGAGGCCCGTACGGTGTTTAGTTGGGACAGCCTGTGCCCCTACTATTGCCTTGCTTCACCAAATGAGCAAAAGCGGTTTGATGTGTTTTCTGCACCTTTTCTGCTTTTGGGGGGGTAGTTCATCATGCAGGTTTGCATATCGCGCGCGGCCTGCTACGCCATCACTTCACCGCGCTCTTTTCTGCTTTGGGCGGGTAGTTCATCCTGCAGGTTTGCATATAGCGCGCGGCCTGCTACGGCATCACCGCACAGCGCTCTTTTCTGCTTTTGGGAGATAGTTCATCCCGCAGGTTTGCATATAGCGCGCGGCCTGCTACGGCATCACCGAAATGTGCCACACCATGCCAGCCACGCCGGTGACTTGTAATTACTCGTTTCATATTCCATACCCCCAATTCCTTCATTAAATTACCCCCAGTTCCTTCTTTACATTTCTTTCTTCTTCCTCGATAACATTCACACTGTCTACTGCTGCGCGAGGGCCATTCTGTTGGGATCTCTATCACATTCACATTATATCCGTTGAATGCAATTTCCATTATTATACACCCATTATTACCAAGATTTTCTTGTCGATTCACATTCAAAAACCGCATCCGTACCGCGGTGTGCCTCCATTAATCTTCTTAAACCACTACTACCTTTGCCATCCGGTTTCGACAAATTTGAGCCTCGTTGCAAACTTTTTAGGAGGCCAGGCCTGACAACGGCTTCTGTTGATAAACCTGATTGGCGGTCGTCGTGTCGTTTCGTTTCCGCCTCCTGAAAGGTCAGAGGCCCACTATTTTCCGAACCGACAAAGTCACAAAGGTACTAGTGCTTCAAAAAAAAAAAACAAAAAAAAACAAAAAAAAAACCAGGTCTTTATGAAGCCCCGGCTCCCTATCGAATATGGGAAGTATAAGCCCAGTCCCTATTCCACCGGCAAGTCAAAATTACAATATGAAGCACCCTCACGCTTTCTTCCGTCTGACTGCATTGATTGCTCCAGGCGTGTGGACACTGTGGAGGATTGACTGTCAGCTTATTGCCTTGCCCCTCCCTACCTTTCCTCTCAGGTCCCACTGTCTGTTATTACCAAGATTTTCTCATCGATCCATATTCAACAACCACATCCACACCACTGTGTGCCTAGGATCTACGAACACAGTTCCCTCGACGATCACACCATCTAAAGAACGACATCATCATTGCCATGTTTACCTATCGCACCCCGGGCCTCGTGCGTTCGTGCCATAACATCTACACAACTACTGTAGGGAGGGAGGGCTGATTCATCGTCCTTCCTATGATAGCGTCGTTCCGCCAAGTACTCTTCCAATTTTCTTCCACTTTTCGTCTACACAACGGCAGGGAGCGGAGCCATCATCGTCCTTCCAATACCATCCATCGCACCATTACTCTTCCACTTTTGTCATTGCCTTTCCTTCCCTCTCCGCTCTCTCTCCTCCTCATTCTCTTCTCCTTTCCTCCTCTACCGATTGATTCCCTGTGTCACTCCTTAGATGATCGCCACCTCCATTTTTTTATCGATATATTGTCGTGTGTTGAGATGACACCCACTTCTTGACCGGACCGCTTTAGGATTAAATCAATGACCATGTCGGAAACAAGTGCACTTTCGAACCGCATCACAACCTCCGAACCCAGTTCGAAACTGCAGACAGATAGGAAAACCGTTGTTCTCCTTCTGCGGCATTCCGCCAATTGTGCCAACACACTTCTTTCCGCTATGAATGTTCACCGCCGCAGAGATCAGAATGGTGAGTTCCAGCCTGGTGCTTAACACGAGTACGGAATTTGGAACTCTTCACCGCCATGCCGTGGTATCGAGGGTGTTGAAAGGGTCATTCGTATCTGCGCACCCCTCCAACAAGAAGCGCCTTTCACTCTGAGGGGTTCTCTCCAAGGAATTCGTTTAACATATCGGAGGGAATCCTCCTAACAAGTTCCTTACAGCCCCCAAGTACCTCTACCAGTGTGCGCCCGCGGGGCGTGCTCGCGTTAACGCGCAGCGACTTTTGGGATCTCCGCTGCCGTTCAGATTTGTCATCTGCCGCCAGCGTTGCAGAGCGGGCCTCCGAAAGTCGCCGGGAGGACCCCGCGGCCGCACAACCGGTAGGTACTGGTCGTATATAACCCCCCAGTACTTCCTAAAGTTGTGCCCGTTAACAAGCCACAATTTTAGGAAACGCACAGGCCACTACAAGGAGGGCCCAAATTCATCCGACTAGAAACGCTTCTACTCTATTTTTTGTCTGCGACCGATTGCTGGGCCAAGTACTGGTGGTTTAAAAAGGATCCCTCTAAACCGTACCTCTATTGCTATGGCCTCCCACTAAGAAGTTCCTTTAACTCTAAGTGGGTCTCTAAGAGTCTAAGGAGGTCCTGTAAGTGGTCCTTGTCTAAGAAAGTCCGTTTTAACTTTACAGGGGTCGTTCTATGAAGTTCCTGGAAGTGGTAGTTGACTACAAGACGCGGGCAGGCAAAGCTGCTTAGCTATCTCTAAATAAGCTAACCAGACCAAATTCGGTCTCATATTCTACCGCAACGTTTCAGTAAATTAAAAGTAAACTCAGCCGATGCACTATTTTACCAGGTGAGTTAATTAACCCCTGCTAACCCCTTAGCAGGTGAGTTAATTAAAGCCTTAGCAGGTGAGTTAATTAACCCCTTAGCAGGTGAGTTAATTAACCCCTTAGCAGGTGAGTTAATGAACCCCTTAGCAGGTGAGTTAATTAAC